TTTGAGTATTAAACGATTGTTAAGAGGTTTGTTATCTAAAGAGAAAGAAGATAGTATATTATTTTACTAAAAGATATTGAACCATTTCATTAAAGATGAGGTAATATGTTAAATTTTAGAATAAAAAGATAATAATGTCAAATTTGGAATATATAATTTTGTTTAAAATATTATATTTGAATTTTATAAAATTATGAAAGGAAAAACGTCAACATATCATTACTTTAAATATACAAGAGGTATCAATTTATTCACATAGAAAGAGAGATCACGTTATTGATGAATAGTACAACGACAAAGAATGATATATGATCTATTTAGCAATATTACATGTTCCAGGGTTTTCAAATTTCCGTTAATCCGAAATGATGACGAAACGGATCAAAAAGGAATGATAGATTATATGTGGGATCACGTGGTGATATCAGATGAATTGTACAAGAAAGGGAATCAAGAGTGCGATTTCAAACACGAATATGTGTCCAAGGAATGCAATGCGACTTTAGATAAGTATTTTGATGTATACAAGATCATTGACATGTATAGTCTCTATTCTCCAAATTGTGTCCCCACCCCCAAGAACTCCTCAATTTCTCATTCCATCGCCAGAAATCACCACCTTCCTGCTTTCCGTGGCAAATTCTGCCCTCGCCTTACCTCCCAAAATGTAAATATTTTCTCACTTTTTCTTGCTCATACACTTTTCTTTTAATAAACTAGGAGTTGACTGGACCGGTTTTAATTGATGATATATAGGAGGGATGGCGGAGGATGGCGGCCGGGTACGATTCATGTGCATCAGAGTATACCGAAAAGTATATGAATAGGAGAGATGTTCAAGAGGCACTTCATGCCAATGTCACGAACCTCTCTTACCCTTGGACTCATTGCAGGTATTAATAATGCATAATCCGACTTTGGTTCGGTTTTGTATCAAAATATTTTTTTGATAAATGAAATATTGAAACAGAATATAATCCGATTTGGTCATATATATGAACTCACTTTTTGGCATAAATATATTTATCATTATGAATTCATTTCGAGATTAATAAGGTTATAAGGTATCCATAATTGAATGTAATTTAGCATGGTTGGAAAGAAAAAAAAATTGTTTAGAGTGTTACATTGCGTATGATATTTATAGAGAATTTTTAAGAAATGTCACATTTCAAGTGCCACTTTTCAAAAATGCTACATTTTTAAAATCTTTGCAAAAATGCCACATTTAAAAAAAAAAAAATTTCATTATAACATTTATGTTTTGAGTTAACTATGTTGTATTAAGATTTAATTTTGAGGGTTTATGGGGTTTTAGGTATCAAAACATTTTGTTGGATTTATAATTTTAAGATTTAGGTTTTAAAAATTCATAATTATTGGTTTTTTTGCAAATAGATATTTCTAAGTGGCATTCTTGCAAATGTACACATCAAAAATGACATTTTTGCAATTGTCCCTTTATATGAGTACCACCTAAAAATTGAAGTGAAAAAGAAATATAATAAAAAAAATATTTTTGGTTAATTCATAAGAGAAAGCTAAGATAGCAAAAGAGCGAAAATATTATAAAGAAGGAGGCGATAAGAGTTTACGTGTGCACGAGGTTTTTGAAATTTATATTATGATTTTCTTGATGTGATTTTATTGACATTACATCAACAATCTAACTATGTGATTTTATTGACATTACATCAACAATCTAACTAAATTTTGAGAAGA